TGGGCAACAGGTATTTACGTTTGCCGGGAAAACGGGACGTGTCGTTCCGAGATTTTTATATAAAAAAAACGAGACGCAGTATTGATTTTTCAGCCTGCCTCGACTTTTCAACCCAACGGAACTCAAAACAAATGTAGTGTTCAAAGTGTGGAGGAAGAACGTCCAGCGAAATAGCAATGAGGACATTTTTATTTTTCAAACCTTTCTTGGTTTTCATTTGGTAGTTGGCGACCATTTTTGCCTGCCTGTACTCACTGGGTTGGCCTGTCTGTCTTATAAATCTGACTTCATGTAAATCACACATACACGCCAAAGATGAAATGACAAAAGCGTCTGACATACCAGACCTTCCCAGCTAGAGTAAGCAATAATGCACCCTGGAGATCACAATAAAAGTCACATCAGTTGTACAAAGCAATTTATTAGTTTGGTCTTTTTCTCCGAATTCAAGAAATCTAACAGATTTCTTCGTCAATTTAATTTAATTTGGAAAACCGTTTTCCTTCGTTAGTAGTTCCGCAGGATTGACGATCTATACCCGTCAATTAACTTCAAAATAACCTTTTTAACGTCGAATTAACCATTTTTAACTTACAATTAACCCGTGTTCATCTCAAATTATCCATTTTTAAATACAAATTAACACTTTTTTTACTTCAATTTGACTCATTTTTAACTTCAAATTAACCTTTTATAATTTCAAATTAACCATTTTAACTTCAAATTAACCCGTTTTAACTTCAAATTAACTTTTGTCAATTTGAAATTAACTTTTTTTACTTCAAGTAATTCTTTTTTACTTCAAATTAACCTTTTTCGATTTCGAATTAACCTTTTTTAACTTCAAATTTACTTTTTTCAACTTCAAATTAACCCTGTTTAACTTCAAATTAACCTTTTTCAACTTCAAATGACTCCTTTTTAGCATTCAATTAACCAACTCTTTTTAACTCAGAATTAACTTTGTTACGTTAACCTTTTTTTAATTTTAAATGAACCATTTTTGACTTCAAATTAACTTGTTTTTTATTTAACCATTTTTAACTTTGAATAACCCTTTTTGATTTCAAATTAACTTTTTTTAAATTAACCCTTTTCAACTTTTATTTAACCTGTTTTGACTTCATTTTGACCCTTTTTAACTTCAAATTAGCCCTTTTTAATTTCAAATGGCTCCTTTTTCAGCTTCCAGTTAACACTTTTTTACTTCAAATTAACTTTTTTAACTTTCATTTAACACTGTTTGACTTGAATTTGACCCTTTTTAACTTCAAATTAACTCTTTTTGCTTCAGTTCGTCCCTTTTTAACGTCTAATTAACCCTTTTTTATTTCAAAGTAAATATTTATTTTGATGTGCCATTGTTGGTCAAGGGAGAACATAAAAACAAAATTCCAAAAGTTTGAGAATACATCCAAGTCGATGGGGACCTGTGAAGCTGTGGATTTTATTTTTTTAATTTTTTTTGGACGGATATGGAAAGTTGGGTCGGCATTAACAATTGCCACCTTGGTTTGTCCTTGTTACAAAGACTTTCACAGATGAGATTACTTGCCTAATTAAAGAAGAAGCGAAATTTGATTTATGCACAGCCATTAGGAAATAGCCGTGTTTTTATTTAATTTACACACAAAGGAAGCTAATTGTTTAACGACTCTGTAGATTCTTGTCAACATGAGAACGCGGGTAGCACGGCAGCGGTTGACAAATTCCGTCCTTGAAATACGCACCTCATCAGTTTTTCTTATCATTTTTTTTTTCAAGTTTTCTTTAAACATTTCAATCAGTAATTAAATTTTTTTATGATATATATAATAAATGTCTTAGTTTCTCTAAGCATTGTATCACTATACCAATTAATTAATAGTCACGCTACAACTTCACAATTTTTTTCTACAGAGTTTCAGGATTTTCTCAGGAAATTTTATTGGACTATATAAGTGGAAAGGAACGCCAAGGGATGTTCGCCACTAATTTTTTTAAACAATGCGAGAAGGGTTTTATCGAGGTTGGTGTCTTGTCACCAACTACATCTCCTCCAGGATCACTTCAGGATAATTTGTCCTGAAAATCCAAGGACGCACTCTTTGGAAATTTGTGGATTTAATCTTCGAAAAATTAAAATTAACGCTTTTTAACTGCAAATTATCCTTTTTTAATTTCCAATTAACTTTTTCTTTACAGAATTAAAAAATATAAACAGATGGCATGAAATATAGGCATTTAGCGTAAAATTCCTGATTATTTGTCCTATAAAAAAGGTTAATATCAAATCGAAATAATTTTTTTATTTGAAGTCAAGGGTTAAAAAATTTACTTTCAAATCAAAATAATTTGTACATTTGAAGTTTCAAAGGGTTAATTAGATATTATATTTCTAAATACTTAATGAAGCTCAATCCAAGAAAATCCTCAAATTTTGTAGTCTGACTTGACAGAAAGAATAAAAAATCACAGTCCACTCTCTCATAGATCATCAGTATTAAACAATGATTATACGACCAATAATCGGTGAAAAACGAGGGAACATATCTCCGAATAAACCAATAAAGCTAACCTATCAAATTTAGCCGTCAAAGATGGCCAAAAATAACTAATATCCAATGCATTTTAGATCATCAGTGCTATTTATCGTTTACGCGACTCAGTTCGAGTGAAAATTGTGGGAAAATATTTCCATATGGAATAATAAGCTTAATCCAAGAAGATTTTAACAAATATGGCCGTCAAACGTGGACAAAAATTAATAATATCCAATGCTTTTTAGATCGTCAGTGCTATTTATCGTTTACCCTACATAGTTCGATTGAGAATTGAGAAATATTGCCATATGAAACATTTATTCTCAATCCATGAAAATTAAACAAATATGCTAGTCAAACGTGAAAAAAAATAATATCCAATGCTTCATAGATCGTCAGTGCTATTTATCGTTTACACGACTCAGTTCGGGTGAAAATCGTGGGAAAATATTTTATTATAGAATAATAAGCTCAATCCAAGTAAATCAATACTACTTCAAATAATAAATACAAATATAAATAATAAATAAAAATGAATTTGCTCATTAGAAAAGTATTCATATATGGCGTCAAACTTGGCCAAAAAATATCTAAAATCCACTGCTTTATAGATCGTCAGAGTTGTAGGGCGTTTACTCGAATCAGTTCCGGTGAAAATCTAGGAAAAATAATTCCATATGAAACCATTAATGCTCAATCCAAGAAAATTAGACAAATATGGCCGTCAAACGTGGAGAAAATAAATAATATCCAATTCTTTTTAGATCGTCAACGCTATTTATCGTTTACGTGACTCAGTTCGGGTGAAAATCGTGGGAAAATATTTCCATATGGAATAATAAAGCTCAATCCAAGTAAATCAATAATATTTCAAATAATAAATACAAATATAAATAATAAATAAAAATGAATTTGCACATTAGAAAATTATTCGAATATGGCCGTCAAACATGGACAAAAATGATTAATATCCAATGCTTTTTAGATCGTCAGTGCTATTTATCGTTTACCTGACTTATTTCGAGTGAGAAATGTGGGACAATGTTTCCATATGAAACATTTATGCTCAATCCATGAAAATTAAACAAATATGGCAGTTAAACGTGAAAAAAATAATATGCTATGCTTATCATCAGTGCTATTTATCACAATATCATTTTTTAGGAAATACTTCGATATGGAATAACAAAGCTCAATCAAAGTAAATCAATAGTATTTCAAATAATAAATACAAATATAAATAACAAATAAAAATGAATTTGTTCATTAGAAAATTATTTTAATATGGTCGTCAAATTGCCAAAAAGCCCAAATCCACTGAGTCCTCGATCATCAGTATTACAGAATGTTTATACTGGACCCACGTCAGGGGAAAAAAGAGGAAAAAGTATTGCCAAACGAACTAATGAAACTCAATCCAAGAAAATCTTTTACATTTGGTCATCAATCTTGGGAAAAAAATATCTAAAATCCAATATATCATACATATCGTCTGTGTTATAGAACATAAAAAACCATATAGTATCATATTGACAATGTTGTTTTTATAGAACGTTTACTCTATTCAGTTCAGGTGAAAATCGAGGAAAAATATTTCCATTGAAATATTAATAATGCTCAATCCAAGGAAATCCAGTAAATTTCGAAATCACACATGACCGAAAAAAATCAAAATCTACTGCTTCATAGATCATTAGTATTAAAGAATGATTTCTTAATCCGTTTATTTGATGTTAGAAAGGTTAATTTGAAACTAAAAGGTGTTAATTTAAGTTTAACTTAATGAATGTATCAACGGTTATTTTGATGTAAAAAAAAGGTAATTCAAAATTAAAAATGGATGATTTGATGGAAATAAGCTATAAATGTTCAGAACTCACAACCCTTCTTGGCCTATTTTGTATTTTCTTTGCGTTACAATAACATAAGATTACAATAAAAAAATAATTAATTAATCTCATAGGATGCTCTTTTTATTATTGTAATTCAATTTATAGTGGATTAACATATTATGAGGGATGTTTATGGAATAAAATTTTTCAAATGTGTGGTAACCGGAAATTTCGTATAGAATAAAATTGAGCATCAAACTTTGGTCAATAAGGAGCTTTTTAGTCCAATTTGACATGTAGGGTATCCTCCTTATTGTACTGACTGTTCATGAGACACCCTGTATATTATTTTAATTAGTGTTAAATTTAAATCAGAATAAAAGTTGTGTGTAATTTTTTTTGATATTTTTTTTGTTCTATGGGAGCCGACGATGTTTGTGATTGATCCTAATTGTAGATGTGAAGTTATGTGATGATGGGTTTGTCTCTCGTCCCGAATGACTGGCTGCAATTTAAGGCAGGGAATTGCAGTGGGTGGCAAAGTGCGCGTTACGTGCGGTAGTGAATTTAAATCGATTCGGCGCCTATAATAACAAAGTGGCAAATGAATTGTTATTGTTTTTATCGTTAAAACGGCTCAGATATGGTAATCGATGGAATAACAGCCGTTAGGGAGGTGGTGACTCGATGTTTCAACCTTGGAAGGCCTACCTCGTCTCTGACGAAATATCTCCAGAATGGGGGGTTAACCCCTTTTCCTCCGATTATTCTGCCTCGGTCGACCGCAATATTCGCTCGAAGTCTCGCACGCACGCATCTCTCTCATAACTCGTAGGCCTCGGAATTTGTTTGCGTACTAAACTAATAACGCATGAAGTGACCGTCGATGAAAAGTAAGAGGGGAAGTTAAACAGTGGAGTGTTTACATCTATTTAACATGTTTTGTTTAAAATGGATTTTATTTTTTTGCGTGTTCGAAATCTCAACCGGGCAGTTTCAATCCGTGCTGAATTATTACAGGGAGATATTGAATATACCCCAAGGGGCGACGAGGGACACGGACGTCTTCAAGAAAGAGTACGATTTCATAGTTGTTGGGGCCGGGTCGGGCGGTAGCGTCGTAGCGAATCGATTGACCGAAGTCGGCAACTGGTCCGTCTTGCTTTTGGAAGCCGGGAAGGAGGAGATTCTCATAACGGACATACCACTCCTCGTATCTTACATTTTGGGGACGGAGTTTAACTGGGGGTACACCACAGAGCCCCAACAGTTCGGCTGTCTCAGCATGAACTCGGGCCGGTGCAACTGGCCCCGTGGAAAAGCCATGGGGGGCACGAGTGTGATCAACTATATGGTTTACACGAGAGGATTCAAGGAGGATTACGACAATTGGGCCTCCTTGGGAAACACGGGCTGGGGATACAAAGACGTGTTTAAATATTTTCTTAAATCAGAAAACATTCGAGTTCCCGGCTTGGAAAAGTCCCGGTTCCATAAGAAGGGCGGTTACGCGAACGTCGAGAGGCCGTCCTGGAGAACGCCCTTGGCGAAGAGTTTCATGGAAAGCGGCGAATCCCTCGGCTACCCGACTGGAGACAACGACGGCCTCACACCTCCCGGATTCTCCTACGTACTGACGACGACGAAGCGAGGCGCCCGCGAAAGCGCGTCGAAAGCTTTCCTCCGTCCGATCAGAAACAGGCCCAACTTGCACGTGGTGAAAAAAGCCAGAGCCACGAAAATCCTAATCGACCCGACATCCAAAAAAACCTACGGGGTGGAGTTCGTCAAAAACAGAAAATATTACAAAGTAAAGGCCAGTAAAGAAGTCATAGTCTCAGCTGGATCTCTCAACACCCCGCAGCTGCTCATGCTGTCGGGAATCGGACCGAAATCCCACCTAGAAGAACTAAACATTCCGGTTTTAAAAGACTCCAAAGTGGGTCACAATTTGCAAGACCACGTATCCATGGCCGGACTGGCTTTTCTGGTAAACGACACCGTTTCTATAGTCGAGAACCGGTATATGAACCCGAGGTACGTCTTGGATTATTGGGTGAGAGGAGAAGGTCCCTACACCCTCCCAGGGGGTGCGGAAGCCGTGGCTTTCGTATCGACGAAAAACAATCCGAACAAGACCCATCCGGACATGGAATTAGTTTTCGGACCGGGGGCTTTCACCGGCGACACAGGCGGTTCCATCCGTATGAGTTACGCGATGAACGAAACCTTCTTCGACCGGGTTTATCGCCGTTACCAAGGAAAAGACGCGTTCAACGTCGTCCCCGTCCTCTTGAGGCCTTACAGCAGAGGTTATTTGAGACTCAGGTCCAAGAATCCCTTCCATTGGCCCTTGTTCTACCCCAACTATTACACGGATCCCAGAGACATCGACGCGATGGTCGACGGAATCAAAAAGGTAAGATCGTGAAATGCTTTAATGCTAGTTTTTTTTAAAATTTACTACTGTTTTGAACTAGTGCGATTTCTTTGGACTTTGTAGGATAACATAAACAACTATTTTTTACTAGTCATCGTCAATTTTAATGTATTATACATATTGTATTAAATGTTCGGAGCCAACTGGTCATCATCAGTAACACTATAAAAAAAAATTCTGAAATAATATTTTAACAACACACTGCATAAAATTACATTCCAAAACCATGACAAAATACATAAATATAACATACCTCAACTTAATTACAATCTGTTACTAAAATAAATAACTGCATTTTTTCCATAAGATAATATAGTGAGCATTGACTTATGGAAAAATGCAACCTCTTGCTAAGGGACAGTCTTAATGACACTGCTTTTGTCCGCTAGAGGACATGTCCTCTAATGAGAGGTTTTTATAATTTGATAACACATAATCTGAATATACGTACAGACACTACATGTGAAATGTATCTGTAAATTTTCAATGACTTTTACAATTTACATTTTTACTAAGCTTGGATTTATGGGCTAATTTTATTGCACTGGGTCTCGCGATATTTTCTTAAAAATCAACCATTTCTTTTCTATTATTTTCAAGTCAACTTTTGGCGGGAGAGAGTGATAGACTTTAACGTTTGATGAGTGGGGATGAAAGAGGGGGGAGGGAGAGAGAGAGAGAGAGAGAGAGAGAGAGAGAGAGAGAGAGACTAAAACAAATACAGTCAGGCAGAGACAGAAAGTGAGTGTTTGAAGGAGAGAGACAAAGTAAGATGGGAAGCTAAAAAATTAGGGTGACTAGGAGAAACAGAAATAGGTAGGGAGAGAAAGGAGATCAAAACATGAAAGACAGACATGAAGGGAGTGAGAGTGACTGTCTGTGGGAGAGAGAGAGAGAAAAGGGAGACAAACAGAAAAAGTGAGACAAGACAACACAGACACAAAACGTGAGAGAGAGAATGAGAGAAATGGAGAAAGATAGCGAGAGAGAGGGGGAAGAGAAAGAGACGCAGAGAAAGAAAGAGGCAAGCTAAAAGGAAGAAAGTTAGACAGTTTTTGATTACGGCGAAAGGAACATAGATATGTAGATATATAGATGATAGATAGAGAGAGAGAGTGTGTGAGAGTAAGAAGAAAAGAAAGAGAGAGAGAGGATGAGAGAGTGGGAGAAAAAGAATGAGTGAGAGAGCCTAAAAGGAAGAGAGGCATACCAAAGAAAAAAATTTATCACGAAATCACCTAGCAATCTGTATGTGTTAGTGAAATGCTTTGTATGTACAGATACAACACGTGGGTGTGGATGTGTATATAAATTTTCAATGTCTTTACGACCTTAAAATTTTAATTTAAAAAATATAATTGTCTGAAAGAAAAGAAAATTTGACGAAGGGAGTTAAGAAATTCAAGTAACTCCAATTGAATCAGTAATATTAGGGGGTATTCACGATGTTTCTAAGATGTTAATTCGTGTTAACTCGAACAGAAAAATGTCCAGTAAGATCGTGAACGCCGTTTCATCCCACTTTGTGGGGAGAAAAATGTACATTTTCCCCCTATAATCGAGGGTCTGAAAGCCGGGGGTCGTGTAAATCGTAGGAGCCGGTGCGCGTTCCATTAACTCGGTGAAGAAACCCCGGCGAGATGGAATCTCGCTTTTTCCGACCCGACGGTCATTCGCCGTTTCACGAAAACCTTGACCGACAGAATGAAGGACTTGAGAGAGGAGAACACAGCACACCTGGAAACGTGTTTGACGCCCTCTCGGGATATCGTTTCTTCCCGGACATATTTCATTCAATTCATTAAAAAAAAAAAAATAATCCGTCTTCCCACAAAATGTTTGTTCGAATTGTAAGACGCATAAGCATAGAATCGGTAAAATCAATAAAAAAAGTATACTTTCCCAGAGTTATAATTTCGTAAAAAGGTAAAGTGCGGAAAACTAGGAATTAAATGGCCATTTTAATTAATCTATTGAAACATCTTTCTAATTAATTCCCACCCCACGTCGTCGTTTCAGGATGGCCATCGGGTTGGTAATTGTTTTCCATGTAGGTTTTTCACTCGGAAAACTTCCACCTCGCATTACTGTTTTATAAATCCAATATTCAATTAGCATTTACTAAATAATAAATCGCTGATTCTGTACCAGCTTTTTTCGTCTCGCTTTTGTTTTAATAATAAACACTAAATATGCATAACTTATTACTTGCGAGCGTAAAATGTTACCACTAATGAACTGACTTTTCAAAAAAAAATCTCTTTTCTAAACATTTATTTATTTTTTCGAGAGCGAGAGACGTGCCGATGAAGAGAGAGGGGGAAGAAAAAGAGACAAACAGAGAAAGAAATAGTGTGTGTGTGTGTGTGTGTGTGTGTGTGTGTGTGTGTGTGAGTGAGAGAGAGAGAGAGAGAGAGAGAGAGAGAGAGAGAGAGAGAGAGAGAGAGACAGACGGACAGACAAAACAAAGTGAGAGGGAATGTAAAATTAAAAGAGAAAGAGAAAGAAATAGTGAGAGAGATAGAGAAGACATTCAGACAGAGAGAAGGAAGTGAGTTTTTGGTTAGGGATAAAGAGAGAGAGAGAGAGTTAGAGAGAGAGAGAGAGAGAGAGAGAGACATACATACAGACAGACAGACAGACAGAAAGCGGGAAAGAATTGAAACATGAAAGATAAAGACAGAGAGACAGAAAGAAATTGTGAGAAAGGGAACGAAAGAGAGACGGACAGAAGAAAGCGAGAGAAAATGTGAAATTAAAACAGAAAGGCGGAGAAAGAAATAGTGAGATAAATGGAGAAGACAATCAGACAGAGAGACGGAAATGAGTTTTTGATTAAGGACAAAGAGGCAGACACGGAAAATGGGAGAGAGAAAAGAAGAAGATAGAGAGAAAGAATAAGAAGAAGAGAGGGAGAGAGAGAAGGAGAAAGAAGCACAGAAAGTAATGGGGAAAAGCTGGTAGAGAGAGAGAGAGAGAGAGAGAGAGAGTGAGAGAGAGGGGGAGACAGACAGACAGACAGACAGACAGACAAAGGGAGCTAGGAGAAGGCAACCAGGCAGAGAGACAGAAGTGAGTTTTTGGTTGGGGATAAAGAGAGAAGAGAGAGAACAAGAGAGCCAGAGAAAGAAATAGTGAGAGACAGACAGAGAAGAAATAGTGAGGGAGGGAGAGAGAGAGATAGAGAAGACAATCAGGCAGAGAGACGGAAGAGAGTGTTTGGTGAGGGAGAAAGAGACGCACACACAGAAAGTGAGAGAGAGAGAAGAGGAGGAAGAAGAAGAAGAAGAGTGAGAGAGAGGGGGAGGGAGAAAGAGACCGACAGACAGAGAAAGAAATAGTGAGGGAGGGCCAGACGGACAGAAAGCGAGAGAGAATTGGAAAAGAAAGATAAAGACAGAGAGACGAGAAAGAAATAGTTATTAAGTAAGAGAGAGGGAGTGAGGTTGTGATTAGGGAGAAAGAGATTCAGTCACAGAAAGTGAGAGGGAAATGAGAAAGAGAGAGAGATATGAAAAAGAACGAAGCAGGAAAATGTAAGAGAGAGAGAGAGAGAGTGAGAGAGAGAGAGAGAGAGAAGAGTGAGAGAGAGAAAGAAAGCGAAAGACCGAGAGAGAAAGAGACAGAGAAAGAAAAGTAGTCAGGCAAACAGACAGAGAGTGAGTTTTTCATTATGGAGAAAGACGCAGAGGATGAAAAAGACAGGGTGAGGGGCCGGTTAAAAGAGTGACTGTCAGGCAGAGATATAGAGAATCATTTTCTTACCGATGACGACCATTCCAATTCTTGTATATTTGCCCTTGCGTTCCTGTTTTTATATACCTTGTTTATATCCGCCAATAACAACATTATTAAGCCGGACACTCAAAATTCCATTAACCCAGATTGCAAGAATTTCGAAAGGGCCATTTCTTGGTTGCCTTACCTTTCATTCGCTTTTAATAAAGTACATGGAATTTATTTTCACCGGGTTATTTTCTATAGTTTTACGATTTTTGACATGGGTGAGGGGGGAGGGGGTTATAATAGAAAATCGAAATGTTACGTCAGTTTTCGTTCCTATTTAGTAATTGCCATTATTGTTGTGAACGTTTTTGTTAATTTTGATATTTACTTTGTACTTCGAAACTGGAATATTTTATTTACTTACTATTGTTTACTTTGTATTGCTTTTTTTTTGACCTACTAGTTTTTTAATTGATAATTTTTTATTTATTTATTTGTTACTTATTTTTTTCTTTTCTTCATATATTTTTTAGACGGTTTTAATCCATGCTTGTATATACTTATAAATTTATTTCTTTGTTGCAAATAAAAGTATCTACCTATTTATCTTTGGAATTAATCTAGGCCTGAAATCGTGTAGGTTTTCCGACCTGTCAACCTAGAAATTGTGACTTGCATGTTTTTTTTAATTTGTTCTCGCAAGACGTCCTGGTTAGATTTATGCCAATTTCCACCGTGCTTTGTTCGTCCTTTCATTGAATCGAGTAAAAGATTTGTTTTTTTTTTAAGGAAAATTGAATTTGCTGGGTTTCTTCACCAAGGTGACTTTTCGTATGACTTCACAAAAGAGAATCTGATTGAAATTTTCTTAGCAGTTTAATATAAATAGAGATTTAAGGTGGAAAATTTTCGGTCCTCCTTTCGCCAAGCCAAAATAAAATTATTCCATTTCTCCTGATCCTGATTAATTCTGGAAGGTGAAAGAAAACGGAGATACGTGACGAGTTCCAGCCATAATGCAGTCGCATTTCTTCAAAGGGCAGAATCGTTGTGGATTTTTTTTTTTTAATTCGAACCGTTTTTCGAATCAAGAAAGTGGGTCGTTGTTAGTGATAACTGGAATGAAAATCATCTGAAATAAAGCCCACGGTTTGCGACTAGCGTTGAGCAATGTTCTCTTGGCATTTTAAACTTATGTGCTTTAAAGTATAAAACTTGACAACAACTGGCATCAGATCCGTTTAAATTAAAAT